TCCTGCCCCCCCTCAGACCGGTCCCAAACAGGATTGAACCGCTTCGAACAAAGGCTGCAAACTTGGGGAGGAAAGAAAAAAAAGCCAACAAAACCCAACGAAACACATTTTTTTTTCTTTTTTTAAATGATAAAATAACCACAACCACCCCCTCCATCATCACCCCCCCGCCACACACACACCGCTCCTCACAGGTCTTGTCATTTCGGGGGTGTGAGGTGGCCCCGGCCTATTTTTTTAATTTTTTTGGGGGGGAGGGATGGCATATGTCAAAAAAAAATAAGCCACGGGGGAAATCTTTGTGTCTGGGTAGTAAGGAGCCATCCCTTAAAAAAAAGATGACTTTAAAATAATCACGCTTTCCCGTTTCCACCGTATTTTAGGGGGTTCGACGGGATGCTGGCTGGCAGCCGGGCTGATTTTGGGGTGTTTTTTTCGTTTTTTTTCCCTTGAAGGTTCCCCTCCACCCCCCCACCATGAATCTGCTAAGTGTTATTAGGGGGAAAAGAAAATGATTATAATGCAATTTTTTTTTTTTTGAAAAAGAAATGAAGTGTTAAGGAATGGCCGTGCTGAATGAAGGGCAGAGCCCCTGCAGACACCGTGCAGCCGCATCTCCAGCACCGAGGTCCAGCAGATGTCCAAGGGTCCATGTCCTGCTGTCCCACCGGCAGCGAGCTGCACACCCCCCACCCCCTCTTACATAAAATCCCTCCTTTTCCCCAAAAAAAAAATCCAAGGAAGGGAAGCCCTTACCTCTCTCGTGGCCGATCAGGATGTCCTTATGGTTGAAATACTCCACTTCTTCGGTGTAGTTCTGTGTGTAGGCAGTGTTGGATCCAGCATTCCTCGACTCGGTCCAGCGCACTTTGGCGTGTCCCCTGGCGTGGATTTTCAGCGATTTCACCCTAATTTCCCCCGTGACTTCTAAGTTGACCCTTCCTGAGACGGTGTCCCCGCTGGAGTAGACGGGGACATTGCTGTCATTCAGACAGTCAAAGCTTATTGTCAAGCTCTTCACCTTCCCCAGCACCATGGCCCTTCTCCCGGCCCCGCCCCCTCCATTTTTCCCCCCCATACCTCTTTTTGGGGAGAAACCGGCGAATATCGGTGTCCGCTTTTCCTTCCAGCAGCCCTTCCAAACACCGCCACCCCCTCCCAACCCAACTCGGTGTGTGGGTGTCTGTGTGTTTCTTTCCCCCACCGTCCTTTTTATTCATTTTTTACCCACCCCCGGTGCCATCTTTTTGGGGTTAAACGTTCTCAGTTCGGTTATTTCACGCTGCACTGCTCCTTCTTACTGTCGCCACCCCCCCCCCCCCCTCCCCCCCCAAAATATCATTTAGGTCAGATCCTGCAGACCATTAAACTGTCCATTACTGGGAATGTGATTAAAATCAGCCCCCCTCCCCCGACAGGAGTTTTTTCAATCAGGTATGTCGTGACCTCCCACGAGTGAGCCGCTAAAAGTTCAAGAGTGATGTTTTTGAAGCGTATGCCTTGTATCTACTGGGTTTTTCTTCCAAGTAATGAAAAGTCATTCATCTTTCTCCTGGCCCGACACCTGGTGGAGATTCGCGTGCTGCTTTTTACGACTGACTGGTGGACTGCGTTCCGCGGGTGCGCTAGGACTTTTTATGGTTTTGCACCATCTTGTGGTAGGCCTTCATACTTCCTTAGATCGTAGAAGCACAGAGTCATTTAAGTTGGAGAAGACCTTTAAGATCATCGAGTCCAACTGTAAAAAGATAACTTGCAAGAGAAGCAGAGGTGTTTTTAATTCTTCTCCTTCTAATGCTAATGCTTTCCTGTTGCTCTGACATCTAAAGACGTCGCAGTTGGTTATCTAAAGAGATGCAGTTGGTCTCATGCATACACTTATTCGCACATTTTCCCTCTTTTCTCCAATCTAGAAGATAACCCTGTCCTCCACGAGTGATGGCAACCACAACTCCGTGGCCTGCAGTTGGTGTAGGACATCTGAAAGCCGGCAGCCAGACGGGATCCAGCATCCAGTCACGGAGCTCATGGGTTCGTTCTCTCCGTCCACCTCTCTCAGCCAAATCCCCAGAGACGATGGAGAGCAGGAAGATTGTCGTGGTTTCAGTCAAATTTATCAAAACCAGACTGACAGATGGCGCTTCCCACCCCCCCCAAAGAGAGGAGAAGAAGAGATCAGGAAATTTACGAGTTTAGAATGAACTAAACTACTTAAATGAAGAATTAATATTAAAATCAGAAACAAGAAAATAATGAATCATAGAATCTGTGGGGTTGAAAGGGACCTCTGGAGATCCTCTAGTCCAACCCCCCCCACCAAAGCGGGTTTACCTAGACCAGGCTGCACAGGAACTTCTCCAGGCAGATGAAGGCCCAAATCTTGCTATTCCAGTGAATAATCATGAGGATCTTTTTTGTATCTATGTAGGTAAGGAAAGGGACCTTCCTACATAGTTGGGCTGCGGTGCGTGCTCATTTATTTCCCAATGTGTGTGATGTGCCTTGTGTGCTGATTGCATTTGCCCATTCCAGACTTGTTGGAGAAGGATAAAATATTTGCTAAGCTGCTGTAAACCTTCATCTGCAGCCCTTGTAGCCCTAAACGTGCCTCCCCTCTGAGTAGATTCCTGTCTTTTGCCTGTTCAATACTGGACACACAACCTGAGAATACCCACAGACACTGTCAGGATGTGGGATGAGCTCCAAGCTGTTAGGAAGATCACACCGTTTGTGAACTTGTGGATCATGTTCTGGGACTTTAGGTTTTGCCAATTTGCAGACAATTATGAGTCCTGACTGTGCGTCACGCTGAGCAGCAGACAGCTCTTTCCTGTTCCTGGAATGCTGTCTGGTGGAAAAAGTGTTGGATGGTAGTAGCCCTACTTAAGGCATATTGGACATGTTGAGAACACCATCAATAAATCTAATTTTTATTGTGACAGTGGGACAGCTGCAATTTGGAGTAACTCCTGAAGGCTGCAGGTATGGCCGAGCCACCTTGGTTGTTTTTCCGAACACATAGAATTGAGCCTGTTGAAATTAGTGGGACATTTGGATATCCATGCAATGCAAAACCTCACTGTCTTTGAAGCTCTCTAATTTCCATATATTGCTATGCTATTGTTCCGAGTTAATTACAAAATATCCTGAGTGATCAGTTGTGCTGATTTACATGAAAGTTGACCCAGTTTCCAAGACTTAATTCTAAATTGGAGCTTGGTGAAAAAATGTCAGTTTCATATGCACTCTGTGCTATATACATATATGTACCCAAAGCATCTGAGCTGAGATCTGCTTTTGTTTGAAATAATGACCCTCCTTTTCCTAGTTTCTTTAATCAGGAAACTTTCCTCTGCTTTGGTGGGGTTTTACTGTTTGTTTGTGGTTTTTTTTTTTAATATTTCAACCCTATTATCCCTTTCCTAAAACAAGTCTCCTTCCTGCAGCCCTTCACCTCCATGTCCTTTGGGTAGGAGAATGAATCAGAAACAGCATTTCCTGTGTTACATCCTGTTGGTTCTGGTAGTCATAGCTATAAACTGCCAAATCAGAAGATTTTGTTACAAATCTATCGGTATTTGGTACATCAACTTAAAGTCTCAGATTCAGGAGAGGTAAGGAGCTCATCTCTAGCAGACACTTTTAGACCTGATGAGTTCAGAGAAGAGCTTTGAGTTCACCAGAGCAGCTCAGAAATCAGCGTACAAATGAAACGATCCGTATCTTGGTCTCCTGTATAATATATGTATATGTTTTTATAAAAATCCTGCTTTTAATCAGCTTTTTTCCCACTTGTGCTTGCTCTCCTGCACATCAGCCCACCCGTGTCTCTAACTGAGAGCGATTCACCGTGAGTGGGTGCCGCTGCTCAGCCCTTCTCCCTGCTGGACCACCACCTCCTCCTACTGTGGTTGTCCACACTTTTCTCACCCTGATTCTCACCAGAAACACCACCCACTGTCTCTTTGCTGCTCTTCTTTCCGGTCCCACGCTGGCTTGTTTCCAGCCACCTTCTAGATCACCCCACCATCATATATGGCTATATATGTTTTAAATCTGGAGCACTGAACAGGCTGGCATGATTTGATTAAGGGTGTGTTATGAATTATAAGCTGTAGGTCGACTGTTCTGCAGAATGATGTTGTCTGTGCGTGTGTTCGTGTGTTCCCCACATCCTGCCGAAAGTCACACATACCTTCAGTCGCTGCAGCGGGTTTTTTTTAGAGGTGTTTCTGATAGTTCCTCATAATTTGTATGTTTCGTGCCATCTTGTGGCAAACGGGCTGAACTGCCTGAGCTACCTTTTACCAGCCTTTTGCCTCAGGGATCCTGCAAACCAGACGTTCATTGGTGAAGCCTTTGTGTCAAATCAAATATTATTTTTAAATATAATTCCACTTTTACTAAATGAAGAACATGGTATAAAGTGTAGCTGACAGAGGTGTTTACCAGTTATTTTCCAATGTTTACTTAACCGTAAGTATTAGTTACTTTTCCTGTGGGTTGTTTTTTTTTTTTTTTTTTTTCAAATGAACTATCCTTTAGCCAAATACTAAAAGTTTTATAGATCTTGAAACAGAATGTTAAAAATTGATTGCAAAGATGATCAAGTCTTATCATCTTAGATCAACAATAGGCAACAAAGACTTAGTTTGTGCACACGTAGGTGGTTATTTATCAGGAGTCTCCAATAACCTTTCTCTGGGCTTGTACACGATAGACTAATTTTTTTTTTTTTTGTCTGACGAAAACTATGAAGGTGATGCTCTGTCTATTATTGGAGTCAGTAGCTCAACGGAAGATGGCAATATTCCAGCCTCTATAAAGAAATAAAGATTAGACCTGACTTAATGAACCATTTCCTGGAAATGGCAAGCTCTCCCTTGTATGTCTTTTATTTCTTTTTTTTTTTTTGGTGGAAGGAGAAGAAAGAGGAGAGAAAAGTCTGTTAGAAAATTATGGAAAGAAAGAGAGAAAGAGAGAGAGAAAGAGAGAAGGAGAAAGAAAGAGAGAAAGAGAGAAAGAAAGAGAAAGAGAGAAAGAGAGAAAGAAAGAAAGAAAGAAAGAAAGAAAGAAAGAAAGAAAGAAAGAAAGAAAGAAAGAAAGAAAGAAAGAAAAGAAAGAAAGAAAGAAAAGGAAAGAAAGAGAGAAAGAGAGAAAAAAGAAAGAAAGAAAGAAAGAGAGAGAGAGAAAGAATAAGATAGATCGATCTTGGCCTGCTAGGTAGCTGTTGAAAAGTAGAACTGATTATTTTGAACCAAACTCTTCCAGCACTGCTGACTGCATGGTGTCAGGACGCTCTGCCAGGAATGGGTTCAGACCTTAGCTGGAGGGCCTAAGGCAACGTGAGATAACCCTTTATGTTGCAGACTGTTGTGCTGGATGAGATCTGGTAGAAGGACGTGGATGTAAAAATGGGCAGAATTTAGGTCACTAAGCCCAAAATCAATATTCTAAAAATTCTTGATGAGCTTTCACCAACCCTTGGAGTTATTTTCTTTTTTTTTTAAATTTTATTTTGAATTGTGTTGGATGCCTAGATTTGCGCTTTTGTACAACCCCAGACCTGTCCCAGCTCTGATGTGACCAAACAGTATACATTCATGCTGAAGGCCACTTCAAAATCCAGAGGTTATGAGCTATTCTGCTTTTGCCCCTTCAGTATCTTTATCTAATCTGATTTCTCACCATGTACTTGATATATCTTCAAGGATGGGTGTGATGTGCTATGATCTTGAGAACAGTCATTACGTTTTCTAAAAGCAAAGCCAGAAAAGCTTACAATGTTCTCCTGACTCATAAATCAATAAACTAGCGTTAATAGGAAGATCCTAATTCTTCTCCTATCTCCTTAGAGACTGCCCTGACATATCATCTGTTTCGGGATGGAGACAGTGTTTCTCTCTCCTTTTGAAGCTCTTTCCCTGTGTGGCAGAGAATGGTGTGAAAAGAGTGTCAAAGCAGATGTTACGTGTTGCCTGGTGGTTCAAGGTGTTCTCATCAAAAGGAGAGTCCTGGAAAGAAAAAGGGTACTCC